CAAGCACTTATTCTATTGAGCTATTTCCCCGGCCCCACAAATAAAAGTTAGCGTAAATATGTTTTATAAAAAATCAGAAGTATCACAAGTAGTATATATGAAACTACAATGAACTAGTAGCTTCAGGCTAAATTTTGATTCTCTGGAACCTGAGGAAGATGATATAAATCCTGTTTTGACACTGAAGGAATCAGTTTTAGTGGATTATATAGTTCGACTAAAATCATGGAGCTGGAGTTTGGTTCAGAGCATATTAAAAATCTAAGGTTAGCTTGAAACCTTCACTGTTTTCAACAGTTTTGTGGATTAACATGAGAGAAACTGCACTATTAGAGTAAAACTTGATGAAATACTTTTTTATACTCTTTTAAATTTTTTTTATTTATTTATGTGTGTGTGTGTGTATGTGTGTGTGGCCAGCTCAGCCCACCAGGGGGCAGGGCTGGCTGGCATGTAGTGCTGGGGGATTGAACCGCGGTCCCTGTGCTTTGCTAAGCTTGTTGTAAGTAGGTGCTTTAGACCATGAGCCATCTCACCAGCCTTTTTTTTTTAATTTTTACTTTTTTATACTCTTTATAAATAAATTTTATGTAGTGACTTAGAAAACTAGAACTCCTCTACCTAAATAGAATTGTGATTCTTGTTTTCTGTAGCATATTTTCTAAAGTTCCTAAGGTTTTTTTTGTTGTTGTTGTTTTTTTTTTTTTTTTTTTTTTTTGGTACTGGGGACCTAACTCAGGACCTTGTGCTTGCCAGGCAGGTGCTTATGCCACTGGTGCTATCTCCCCGGCCTGGTTTTTGTTTGTTTTGTTTTGTTTTTCTTTTTGTATTTAGGTCAGGGTCTACAGGGTCTCACTACATAGATCCTAACTTGTAGTGGTTCTGATGTTTTCAGCCTCCCAGGCACTGAGAGTACAGGTGGGCACTACCATGCCTAGTCTCAATGGCTGTCTCAGCGCACCCTACAGGCAGGGCTGGTACAGCACACCAGGGATCGAACCCTGGCCACTGCAGTATGCCTAAGCAGGCTGTTTAGTCCGCTGAGCTGTCAGGCCGACCCTTCCCTGGCCTTTCTTTTGATATATTTTTTCAGTTAATCAGTCTTGCATATTTCTTTTTAATTTTTATTTATTGATTAGTACACGGTCTCACTAAACACTTCAGACTCAGTGATTCTCCTGTCTCAGCCTCTCCAGTGCTGGGATTATAGGCATGCACCACCACCCTCAGTTGCATCACACCGTGCCCAGGGCTGGGGTTTCAGGGCCAGCATGGCATGAGGTACCAGGGATTGAACCTGGGTCGTTGTGCTTGCCAGGAGACTGCTGAGCTATCTCCCCAGCCCCTATCTGAAGTATTTTAAAATTTGCATATTTTATCCATTATTTGTGGAGTGTTTACTGCTATATTTCATTAAATCAACCATGTCAGCCTTTCTAAACAGGCAACCTAATTTTATACCAAAATGGAAAACACTGACAGTTAAACTATGATAATGCTGGGCCGGGGAGATGGCTCGGTGGAATAAATGCTTCCCTGGCAAGTACAAGGGCCTGAGTTCAATCCCCGGTTCCACCAAAAAAAACCTGTGATAATGCTATCAGTTATAAAATATATTTCAATTTCTGAGGTATTAAACTGAAATATAATACAATACCCAGGTTTTTTTTTGTGTGTGTGTGTTTTTGAGAAAATCTCACTGTATATAGTTCAGAATGACTTTAAACTCACTATGTAGGAGAGCTAGGGATTTAGCTCAGTCATGAAGCGCTTACTTACTAAGCTGGAAGCCCTGGGTTTGGTCCTCAGCACCAAAAACAAATAAGCCTCACCTAAACTCACTGTGTAATCCAGGCTGGTCTCAAACAGCCATCTTCCTGCCTCAGCCTCCTGAGGGCTGGGGTTATAGGTGTGTGCCCCACATCCAGCTGAATTTTTAATCAAAACCCTCTAAAATACATTTCATTCAATTACTTTTAGTAATATCCTTCCTATAATACACTTCCTATACCCTTCCTACACTTCGTGCCCTTTCACTTTCACTGCTCCTGCGCCTGGCATCGTGAATCTGCTTTCGTCGGAATACACTGATTATTAGTTATGTTACATAAATAAAATCGTCTCATATGGCCTTTGTGTCTGTCGTTTTTCTCTTGGTGCGGTGTTCTCAGTTCGTCTATGTGCTGTCGACTTGGCTTTCTCTGCCATGACCTGTCTATTCCTTATCAATTTGTGGACATTGGCTTCTTGCCATCTCTCTGCCATGGTGAATAACGGTGTGAACTTCGGTGCACGAGTGTCTGTGGGGATGTCAGTCTTCGGTGCCTTTGGGAGCGTGCCTGGGAGTGCAGTTGTGTCACTGGCAGCACTGGGGTTTTGGTGAGCAGCTGTTGTGTTTCTTCAAGGCAGGTGTATCATTTCCTACTTCCTCCAGCGCCCCATGAAAGGTGTGATTTCTCCTCGTTCTTGCCCACTGGGTTTTTGTTGTTGTTTTGTTTTTTTTTTTTTACAAAAAAGACTTGCTATGCAGTAGCCTTCTGCTGTAGCCCAAGCTGGTTGCGAACTCGCAGTGATGCTCCTGCCTGAGCACGCCCAGCTTTCATTCTCCTAATGGCTAGTAATATTGGATATCTTGCTTATTGGTCATCTGTATGTCTTTTGTGAGCACTATATAAAAATCATTTCCTGTGTCATCATAAATACTGTTTATTACTTTACATGGTGGTAGCGTCAGAATCTGGACAAGGCTTATATCAAATGGCTCACAGTATTTTTGAATTTATCTTTATGTGTTTTTTTTTCTTATTACTACTAGTATGTTGTACTGTGGTTAACTTTTTTTTAACTTACTTTTTTCTCCCTGTTTTATGTTTGGGCCTCTAAGACCAGAGAACCAGTGTTAGAAAAATATATATAAAGGTTTGTGTAACTATACCATGAAAGTTGAATGTATACATTTCTTTGATGATGAGGTTCTTTTTTTTTTTTTCTTTTTCTTTTTCTTTTTCTTTTTTTTTTTTTGGCAGAACCAGGGATTGAATTCAGGCCCTTGTGCTTGCCAGGGAAGTGCTTATTCCACTGAGCCATCTCCCCAGCCCAACAATAAGGTTCTTAACAGTGAGATCCAGTGATTATGGGTAGTCTTCAGGGGTACATGAAACTTCTGCAGTAATGTGTTTTGGGTTTTTTTGGAACCAGGGATTGAACTCAGGCCCTCTACTGAGCTATCTCCCCGGCCCTCCAATAATGTTTAAACTATCTAGCAAAATAAAGTTTATCAACTTCTATAAAGGAGTCCAGGGAGATGGCTCAGTAGAATAAGCACTTCCCTGGCAAGTGCAAGGGCCTGAGTTCAACTCCCAGTTCTGCCAAAAACTCCTATAAAGGTAAAAGCACTTCCTTTCTTCTGTAGCAAAAAAAAAAAAAAAAGTGAAAAAAAAAATTTACTGATTTAATCTGTGTTCGTAACATCCTACCTCTTCCATGGTGTGAAGGGAGGACCTCCTTTAGGAGGAAAGTGTAAGAATCTGAATGAACTTTGATGAACAGATCAAAAGCTCTTAGTTTGTTTTTGGCTCTTCACTGGGTTCCAAGAGGTAAGCCACTCATGATGACTTAAGTTTTTATGAGAATATATGAGTTAACTTGTCTGAGTAAGATGGTTTTGATTTATTTTGAATTCTTTTTTATTTTATTTATTTGGGGGGGACAGCTCAGCCCACCAGTGGGCGGGGCTGGCTGGCATGTGGCGCTGGGTGATTGAACCATGGTCCCCGTGCCTTGCCAAACCTGTTCCAAGTAGGTAAAAAATAAGTTCATGGCCTGGGGAGATGGCTCAGTAGAATAAGCACTTCTCTGGCAAGCGCAAGGGCCTGAGTTCGATCCCTGATTCCACAAAAAAAAAAAAAAAGAGTTCATGACACATCTTTTGTTTGATCAGCAGGTTTTTGAAAAAAGATGAATGAAGGGTATTTTTTATAAAGGCTTGAAAGTGTTTGTTCCATTTCAGTATATTCTGTCTGCCAGTTTGTAGGAATATTTGATTCACATATGGGAATATTTCTCTGAATGATGATAATAGGTGTTATGTAAAGATTGTTGTCAACAGATGTTCTTGAAAGACATTGTTTCTGATTATAGTTACAAATTCCTCAAGGATATGGGACCACTATATCCCAGTGCTGTGTAAAATAACATTGTATTTGTTTAGTGCAACACTTAGTTCAACTGTACTCAAATACTTACAGGATTTCACTTTTTCCAAGAAAGGTAATGATTTTTTTTTTAAATTTTTATTTGTGTGTGTGTGTGTGTGTGTGTGTCCAGCTCAGCCCACCAGGGAGCGGGGCTGACTGGCATGTGGTGCTGGGGGATTGAACCGTGGTCCCTGTGCTTTGCTAAGGCTTGTTCTAAGTAGGTGCTTTAAATCACTGAGCCATCTCACCATCCTGATAATGACTTTTTTTGTCTGTTTGGCTGGCTCAGGCTGCCCGAAGGGTGGCTCTGATAATGCAAATGGGGATGGAGATCAAACCATGGTATCCTGGGCCTGACTGCATTTGCATGAGCAGGCACTTACTCAGCTGAGCTAATGGGCAGGCCCCCTCAAGAAAGATACTTTAATTTTGTTCATGTAAGAGCTAATGCACATATCACTGAACTTGTTGTGTTGTGTTGCGTTGCATTGTGTGTCAAGGTCTTTCTTCATAGTCCAGGCTGGCTTTTAACTCATTGTGTAGCCAGGCTGGCTTCTAACCTGCAAGCGAACCTTCTGCCTCAGCCTCCTGAGTGCTAGAATTACAAGCATGCATCACCATACCTAGCTTTCATACCTCTGAACTTCCAAACGAGAATCTTAAAACTTTTTTAACCATCACCAATATAAGCATAGATCCTTTTGAGCTAATTTTCTTTTTTTTACTGAGGTGGGGCTTTTAAATGTCTAGGTAGGGGCTGGTGAGATGGCTCAGTGGTCTAAAGCACCTACTTAGAACAAGCTAAGCTAAGCAAAGCACAGGGACCGCGGTTCAATCCCCCAGCACTACATGCCAGCCCGCCCCGCGCCCTGGTGGACTGAGCTGGCCACACACACACAAAATAAATAAATGTTTTAAAAAAATGTCTAGGTAGTTACTAAGTTGATTTAACTTTGTGTCTTAGTTTGTAGTATATAGTATTAGATTTAAAATTATGTTAATTATTTTAAATTAATATCTTCATATAGGCAGTTGGCCAGACAACAGGCTAATCAAAAAATAGAAGAGTGCAAAGAAGGTAAGTAATGTTGATTCCATTTCAATTTTTGTTTGTTGGGGTGCTTGATGGTACTGGGGATTGAACTCAGGGCTTTGTGCATGCTAAACTGGCACTCTCCCACTGAGTAGATCCTCTGCCTGCGTTTCAGATTTTTTTTTTTTTCCCGGAACCGGGGATTGAGCTCAGATCCTTGCATTTGCCAGTCAAGCGCTTATCCTACTGAGCCATCTCCCCGGCCCTTCAGATTTTTTTTTAACAAATACTTTTTTGTGTGTGTGTGTGTGTGTGTGTGTGTGTGTGTGTGTGTGTAACCGGGGATTGAACTCAGGTCCTTGCGCTTGCCAGGCAAGCGTTTATTCTACTGAGCCATCTCCCTGGCCCCTAAACATATACTTAATATTGTATTTGCAAGCTTATCAAGGTACTATATATATATATATATATAGTTTGTCACCATTTCGTATTAGTTTGTGCACGAAACCATGTCCACAGTAGATGTGCAGTTGGCCATCCTCCCAGATCCCTTCAGGCCTACCGTAAGCCCTCTTAGTTCCAGATTCCCAAGCAACTACCAGTCTGCTTTCTCCTGCTACAGAGTAGTTTTCATGATCGAATTTTATTTTTTTATTTTTATTTTTTTTCATGATTTTATTGAGAAACAAATAGCAAAGAGACAGTTTCAAATCAAATTGGTAGGACAGTTTCAATAATTAACACATTGCATACATTCTTCCTAGTGGTTAATTGCTGTACAAGATGTGGACATGATATCCTATTTACAAACACCATTAGAACAAATCCCTCTATTCATTAAGGGAATGTAACTATGTATCTATCCTAACCACTTTGAATACACAGATACAAAATGGACATTCATCTGTATCCCCTTTTTTTGTTAAGTTCCGTTATTTGAATATTATAGATGTGATCAAATTTTATATAAGTGGAATTATACAGCATGTATTCTCCTGGCTTTCTTTCATTCAGAATAATTGCTGCATCTCTTTCACGTTCACTATGTTGCTAGATAGTATTGCATTATGTGCATGTATGTAGCACAGTAGCTCATCTTTTAATAGCTCAGAGCTGCTTCCAGTGTGGGACAGTCACGAATACTCCTGTATAAGTTTATATTACTTCTGTTGGGAGTGGAAGAGCTAGATCATATATATAGTAGTTGTATATTGTAGCTTTAATTTCTAACATTTTTAAGAAAAGTTTAAGATGCTATAATATAGAAAAAAGATAACTTGTTATGTGAAAGCTACTCATTCATTTTAAGTTGTATATTTGTATTATTATTTCAAATCTTTATTTTATACATACATCCATGAAGACAAAGTGATTACCCGGTCGCTGAGGACTAGAAACATTGTTCAAGCTACAGAACGCTTGCATGCAGAGAACAGTGATGTTAAAGTCCGCCGCAGTTGTAGGATTAGAAGTCGTTACAGCACTGTGAATCAGTCTGTGCTATTTGACAAACTTATAACAAAGTAAGTAAAAAGCTCCTAGTTGAAGGTGATTTTTTTTTAAGATTAATGAATTTATTTGACATAGGGTCTCATTACGCAGCTCAGGCTCATAGTGATCCTCCTGTCTCAGCCTCCCCAGCACTGGGATTACAGGCGTGTGCCACCACACCTGGTTTCTGGTTTTGGGACCAGCACAGCATGTAGTACTGGGGATCAAACCTGGGTCCTTGTGCTTGCCAGGCAGGCACTTAGACTTCCAAGCTATCTCCCCAGCCCATTCAAGATGATTTAAATGGCAAAAACGTTTTGTTGGAGAATGATCCTGCGTTCAACATCTGAATATTTTTATTTTATTTTATTTATTTATTAGTTAGTTAGTT